AAAGAATATGAAAAAGAGCATGCAACCCTGATTAAACATGTGTCAATGTAAGCTGCAAAACAGAAAACATTACAAAGATGCACACATAAATCCCTCCCCACACTTGCTCAAAATATCATCTTGAATGAAGTGATATATTCTCAAAGAAGTGTTAAAAAAAGGTAAAAGAGATCATATTTGTTGCTTGTAAGAATTTACTTCTTAGATTTTTGCCAGCTTCCAACATTTTATCTCATGTCCATTTGCCTCTCCTTCTGCAGAAAATTGTTACCCTTCCAAATGTTTAATTGCCTGTAATGAGTATTCATTATAACATTTTCCCCAAACTTTGTGAACTCTCATTATAATGGACTTTCACTGTAATTTTAAGTTCCTTTATAAAACTGCCCACAGACATTAAAGCTATCTGTCATGCATCTTTTAAGAGATATATTATTTAATTCCACTTTCAAAGAAATAACAAGAAAAAAAGATTAGCTATAACATATATGGCATGTTCACAAGTATTTCCATTTTCCAGAATAACCAAGTACCTGCTTGAAAAGGCTAATGGCCCTATCCCTAATATTTCCTTTCCCTGAACCTTGGTAATGCAACACATTCTTGAGCGTAGGGTTTATGTCAAATGGTGCGGTGAGACGCTGGCTGTTACGTCTAAAATTAACCATGGCATGAGGGTAAGCACGTTGAAACCATGGTGGGAACACAAATCCAAACATAGGCAAACGCTCCTCTTGCTTGCCTTGCTGTGTGTTACGAATATCTGCAAAGCTGCAAGAAAAACATACGTTTTAATTTTAAAAACTGGTGATGTGGGTACATAGCAAAACATGCAGCTTGATCAACGATACTGAATATACTTGTAGCAATAAATCTACTTTCAAGCATGCTGTACAATCAGAGCAGAATATGCTGTCTAGTAGAATATCTTTAAAAATCACAACTGCTTGTGTTCCATAATCTTTGAGGTATCCTCTACATCCAGCACACTTCAAGGAGAAAAGTCCTTGTTGAAAATTTGCTCAGCTAGAGAAAATTCCTTGCCCCCTCTTTTGGAACCATATGGTTCATTACATTGTTCACAAGTGCATGCCACTAGACTTTATCTTGACACCCTTTAACTTCAAGAAGCATTTTAATATTATTCTCCTGTTTACACCCACATTATATCTTATACTGCTTATGTTGCCTCCATTCAACTGACATGTGTACCACAACAATTTAGCCTGATTCCTCTGACCTAATAAATTGAGCACAATTGTCAAACCACAATTCTTGTTGGTCTCAGTCAAGTAATCTATACTCTCTTTGTCTCAGATTTAAATACTCTAAAAATTTCCCAACTTCTACTGATGTCCACATAATCATCCAAGTCGTCTAAAACTGCAAATGTATCCGAAATATTAAGCTGATACTATTCTATAATTTCTACATCAATTGACTTCTAGAGATTAAAGCTTTCCATATTTAACTTTTGTGATGATCATTTACTTACTGAAACTCCTGAATTTGTGCAACCACAATATAGCATTATCAGTCAACTTCCTTAAAATATGTAAATGAATCAAACCTAAGAACCACCTTCATCTACAGACATGAATAAACTGAATGCATGTAGTCACATCAGTAAAAGTCATTGTTTATTTTTAATGCCATGATATGAAAATATTTACTCTTAACAAAGTTTTTTGGTATGGAAAATTTTACTACTCTAATTCCATTACAATTTAGTAACTAATAAAATAAATTCTCATTCCTAATTATTGGTCTGAAATACCTTATCTCCATACTGCTGCATTCAATCTCCTAATAACATTCTTATAAACAAATTTATTCTCAAATTTATACATAGGCTTAATAAAAATACAAAGAGCTGTCAAGAATATAACACTAGTATATGGTAAAATTCACTCAAAATCCTTACCGTGGACCATGATCACTCATGATGATCAGTAATGTGTTGTTAAGGTGACCCTCTTCATTCATTGTTTGGAGCCATTCCAGCATATCCGTATCAACACCACCAATCAGGTTATGTGAATCGTGAGATAGTTCAGCATGGAAACTAAACATGAATTTGGGCTTCTCACGGTAGACTTTGAAAAAGTCATGGACATAGTTCATCACGACCTTAAAAATGCAGAATATTTGCATAAAATATTCCATTTCCTCCCTTACTTTCATACAGTATTCATGAATTATGGCAAAGAAACCAGAAGTAAAGTATCACAGTAAGGCAGAAGACATGACCTATGTAAACCACAAAAGCTGTGTCAGATCTGAGATTCTCACAGTGGTGGTGGGTATCTGAGTTGTGACACCATTTCAGAGAAACATACTGCCTCCAACTTCAGACCTGAAGATAGAGATGCTGCGTTTCTCTGAAACAACGGTATCTGCCAACGAGCCCACATGGCGTCACAACCCAGAAGATCAACATTGCCATAAAATCTTATCTTTATTAATTTTAAGTATGACATGGTCAGACTAAAGTAAGCCTAATTCCATTTATATTCCTGAATATTGATGTGAACTCTTAGTAAATGTGTATGACATGTTTGGTTATAGTAAGAAGGAGATTAAAGTTCCTGTCCAGTTCCATAATTGACTTCTATTCAATAAATGTATGAGATATAAAGACAAAATTCCTATTTCCCTCAGTTATGCTAGTTGAAAGACAGGCCATAATCACATTCTCCCCAATACCTTCCAGCTCTCCATATGAATTCTTCCCTTAATCTCATTCAAAAACACTAATCTTTGCAGTTGAAATATATATTAATAAACATACTATGAACCAACCACTGACACATTGGTGTACCAACAATTTCACTACAGGATCTGTGCAAAAACAAATTAACCGTTGCAGTAGTGGTTTGATGTGAAAGCTGTCATAACTAAAGGCTCCAGATACATTATAAATTCACCGAAAATGTAAACTCACCTTATGACGAGGTACAGAACCCATGCAATATTTTTTATGATGACTGTATTCTTGAGCAGAAGCAATATAATAAGTTCGTGCATAATGATCAGTTGGTGGAGAGTCAAACCCCTTTAATCGGTACGTGAAAGTGCCAATATGAGGACAATCCTCTAAGTATCCTGCAGAAAAATATATGTTTAAGAATGAGAAAGTACAGATGGGAGCAGCAGCTTAAAACAAACACCTGTTTGAAATTCTGATCAAGATGTATCATTCCAGATTTCAATAACAATATTCCTTTTTTTTTCTTTTAGCCATGCATACAACTACAAGCAAAATCTCATGACAACATTTCCTAGAAAGGTTACATTAGTTAATAACAAGATTGAAAAGGTGTATTCTATGCTGAGATACACAAATGTGTTCTTCGTAAATTCTAAATTATTAATAAATGATTACTTCAGTTATCTTGCTTCGACAACTTTAGTATCAAACTATACAAAAATCATGTAATGTTAATGTCTTCTTTAAGTAATGTAAAATCAATACTGCTATGCCATAAGCCATGTTAGCTCCATGTTTGCATACTGTTCTCATATGCATGGGGTTGCAAGATCTAATCCTTTAGCCAAATATTTTCTTATGCAGCCATCGTGTTATTTTACATTATCAAAAGAATTACTTCACCAAAGTTTTGTGTCTTTTGAAACCATCATTGTATGATACTATTGCAAGTGACACTAGTGTAGATCCCACCTAACAAGTTTATTCACCTCAAGCACTATTTAGGCAAGCATGTTGAAAAAATATACTCTTTCAATTTGTTGTGTCAGAATGTGAATATTCTAAAATGTTTAAACAAGTGCAAAGCATTCCTTCATGTTACAAATTTAAGTTTCCACAGTCATCTTCACACGCAGAAAAACACACTAAACTGAATTACTAAACATTCATGAAATTTAATACTGGCAAATTCACACCAATAGAAACAAAAGAATGTTTCTTCAGGATACGGTTACAGATTGGGAAAAATGTTGATGTTATATTTATGGACACTGACAGAATGTCCACATCTAACAGCATAACAATTACACAAAATTTCATTAAAAGCAGTCAATATGTTCAAAAGTCATTACAGCGCATAATATACATGCATATCAATATTATTGCACAATAAACCTACAGAAAGCAGGGTAATAAAATTCAAATAAAAGAGGAGAATCACCTGTCACATAACCATTATCCTGAAATTCCTTCCATACAAAGGGATAAATATTGACAAATGAAGCCTTATCACCCATTCGTTTTCTTGTTTCTGGAAGTTCCAGTTCAGTCTTCCCTGAAAAAAAAAATAACGCAGTAGAAAGTACAAAAGCAGGTAATTCCTGGGCTAAATCTTTACTATTACTCTGTTTAATATTCCTCAAATAAAGAACTTACTAATAAAAATATGTACGCTCAATGAGATAACACTGTTTTATATACTGAGATCTTTATAGAAAATTACCTTTAAAGTCTAAAATGGATTTGTTAGACTTTACACATCTTTAGTGGTAGTAATAATATAAAACACTTGTGACTTATGATACCTGCAGTGAAAGAATAATTTTTCACGTTTCATGGATAAAAAAGTAAGTGTAAATAGTACTTTAATTCAAAGTTATAACACAGAATTCAAAGCCGAGTTTGAGTTTCGAAATGAAAATTTGGGTGTTCGAAGATCTACACTTTGCATTACCTTCTTTACATTCTATTCAAACTAAAATTGAAAACATGACTTAAAATGACAAGCTCTATTTTATTTTAACTAACAGGACTGCATAATCTACAAGCTTCTTGTTTTCCTTTCGACAATTTAAAGCACACCTGTGAGGATTGGTATGATAGCTTGTGGAGTGCCATCCCCAACAATGTTGTAGCCACGCAAGTCAATCATTTGAAGAGTTTCACGGAGATAACGGTATGTACGTGGTAGGTGACGAATAAACATGTTACGTGACAATGAGTCAAAACCAAACATCAGTACGTCTAACCGCAAAGCATCACGTGGGAGTTTATCCCAACCCGTACGATCCAACACATCTTGATCATGGCGGATTCCTGCCATTATGTTGCTCCATCTGAAAGAAATTTGACATTAGTACTGACCTGACTTCTGAAAGTATGTGTTGGCAGTGTGACAGTTTATGACAATTTCAATTATTATAAATATGCTATGCTGTTTTCATGTTCAATATTTTGCAGCGGCTAATTCTGCTTGATACTAAAACTAAAATCATGTAGTTCATGTCACAGTTACAAGAAAAAATATATATTTGTCATTTATGAGTTCACAGGCATAAAAATTTACTAAATCTGTCAAAGACAGGAACTTATGAAATATGGTTCAATTAAGAGTTATTGCACATACATCTCCCCTTTACTTGTCTTGCAGAGAACACGAACAAAATCACTTTCCTCCAGATTGTATTCAGTGTGTGTCTGTGTTGTGACTCCATCATGTGTGCTGTGGTCATTTACTCGAAGGATATCTGTTTCCAGATGAAAAAGTGCTACATTAGTAACAATAAAACAGAATTTTATCTTGGATACAGAAAAAAGAGAAGAATTGAACACTTAATAATATGACAGTAGCAGAGCTCAGAATTAATACTGAATACTATTCCTCTGATAACAGAACGCATATCACCATTAGCCACATGCAGTTGGTCATAAATATGCTTAATAGCAACACTAAAAATATTAACTCACTATTATCATGGCTGTATATGTAGAACACCTCAATGGTTCTGCCAAGACTGGCTGTTTCATTCATGGACTGTATGTTGTCAGATGAGGACACATTGTGTTCACTACCACTTTCTTTGCTGCTAGATTTGGGGCCAAAAGAAATAATGGTATTGTCGATTACATCTGACAGAATCATGCCTCTCGCCCAAAAATGGTTGTCAATAATTGTTATAAGATGCTAACAGTAGCTTTCTCAATCTTCTTCTGTGACTGATTCCTCAGCATGTTTGTTAGGAGTCTTTCATGTTTATAGATATATCTCCTTAACATCATTTTCAGTCACTAAGCACTTAATTTTAGCCCACATGTACAATAGAAATTGAAGAACTGTGGTGAGCCTACTATCTAGAGTGTCTTTTCTCTGGGTTTGATTAATCTTTTGCTTCCGCAGATCTACTTTATACAGTGTATCACTATGTGAGATACCTTTGCTTTTAACCAGTCATCTTGCACTTCAGGGAATATGGTGGTTATCTACTTGAGGATAATTCAGTAAAAGATTTCCACTCATCCATTTTTCAAGTTTTGTGTGATTCACAAGCCTGTGACAATCTTCACTTGCAGAGGCATCTTTATAAACACAAAATGCATGCACCCCACATTTTTCATTGTGTTTCCAGTTTTTTCAAAAAAGTTAAATTACAGCTTAAAGCATTTGCATCAACAGTTTATAATATAAATTCTTTCAGTTAATAATTTCCTCTTCAACTGACATTTCTTCCTCTTGAATTTTATCTTCTTAATCAGTCTATTAACATATTTATTATCCCATGACAAATGGATCTTACTTACCATGACTAAGAGACATTTTGATATCATTCAATGTATTATTTTAACAAAAAAACTGAAATATGTTTATTACAGCATAACTATAAATATCATCAACAAACACAATTGTATGCTCATGCTATATGCTTATATTTTTGTTTCCAGGCAGACAACTTTGTGTGTGCATGTATCATACTTTTTATTCCATAACCTACATGCAGATCAGGCTTGTAAAATGTTGGAAAAATGTGACACAACTTATTTCAAACACCTGACTAGTTACATATGAACTAATGTTGGCTGTAAATAAATTTATATGATGTAAAAATATAACAAAAACAGAAAGAAAAATGTGCACGCATGCACACACGTGCATGCACACAATTCAAAGCAAATCTATTTTCAGAAAACAAAATTTATATGCTTTAAAATAAATGCAACTTCTCTTCAGAACAAACCACTTTAACAAACTTCATGCCTACAAAATGAATCTTAGTTAACATGAAATGTCTATAAAGGAAGACAAAGACTATGCACTAGACAGTAGTAAGTGATAAATGAATTAAATCTGCTCTTAATTTATTTACAAATGAAATTTTGATTTATTATCGTTGCTCTGAAATATTTTAACTTTGCCATATTTTTAAATGCTTCATTAGCTTATTATCTTTATATCATGATCTTGTCCTGCATTCTGGTGATAAGACATGGACATACACTTTCAACTGCCCCCAGCAGTACAAAAAAAATAATCATTTTCAAAAATTCTTGTGTCAATAACAATCAAATTTCGCATGGCAGTTAGAATTTTAAACATATCTTGCCTTTTACTATAATTTCAGTGCAGTAATAAATGCTGGATGTTAGGCTGAACTTTTGACAGAGGGGATGAATGACGGAGTACTATATGCCACACTATCTGAGCTGACCTGTGAAGGCACACTGAATGTTGCCAAGCCTTGACCGAGCTTCATCTGTGATAAAAACGGTGCTCCCATTAACTCTCACCCAGTCTAGGTTATCTCCACAATCTATTGGTGGGGATGACTTGATGAACTTCATTATCTCTGGACTGTGCACCTCCAATTGAGGGTGTCGACATGCCTGGCCTCCGGCTCTGAAATCCAAAATCCAAAATGCGATTAATCAAGTAAAAGAATAGAAGATGCATATAAGAAATAAAATCAAAAGTAAATATAAATATTGCCTCAAGATATATAACTTAATTCATATACATGAAGTTCAAACTGGTCAACATTAACAAGGTATATTTAAAAAATAGATGGGTTGCAGCATGCAATTAATTTAACAGAACCAATGTAATGATTCATTAAATAATGCAGCTCTGTGAGTAACTGATACATTTATGGACACACAATACACAGAGGCAGAAGTAATGGGTAAAATCGTAACAGGAAAGATCGTAATTTTCACACAGCTGTAAGCAAGATCAAGTTATCAGAGATATGGACTGTTTAGAAAAGTTTCCCTTCCTTTCATGCATGTATAACTCTGATGAGTATGGAAAAGGGGTTGAGAAGGGCAGGGAAATTCAATCTGTATGGGCCTCTTCTACAGCTGAATGTATTTTAATCCTTCCACAATTACTGCACTGCATACAATAATAGTGTAATGCCTTTTAAAATTGAAGCTGGAAACCTGCAATGATAAACAGTATAACAGATATACCACTTTTACAAATTCCTAGGAGTGATCTCATCTCTGATATGCATACCCCATAGCTCTTTTCAGCACTTCAGTGTTCTGCCTTTCATTATCTTCCACTAAGAATGCCAAAACTTTGGAAAATGCATGATAAAGTACTCAAATACATCCATTTGAAGCAATTCATCACTAATCAGTTAATATTTAAGAAATACCATAATAAATGTTGGTATCTAAATGATGTATTAAATATATATATATGTATAGAATTAAAATTGTGAACAGCACGTCAGAATTTAAAAATTCCACAGTGTAAACATGAACTATGCATATAGTGAAAGGCTTTCAAACCTCACTGAAGTCCTGGGTCTCCAAGAGATAATGCATTACTTTACATAAGGTCTCTCTATAAATAATTTCCACACAAAAATGTCCAGAAGTTTTATTTTCTAAATTTCTTTATTTGGTGTTTTCAATATATCTGCATAATGTGTTAGCAATTGTACAGCCTCATCTCTACCAAGGATTAAGATAATCTTAGGATGTTTCAGAACTCACGAGAGTTTTCTCCAGGTCTGTGCTGATGATGAATGGAGCATCAAGTTTATCTGCTTCCTATAAACAGAATCATGAAAAATCAACAATTTAATCTATGTCATTTAACAAAACAATTATAACGTAGGTAATGAATTAGACTTTATAAAGAAACAGGTATAAAAAATAAAGCAAAGAGGGACAGTAGAGGCATAGAAAACAGATAACATATTTATGCACTTAAATGCATAGAAACTGATAATATACTGCAGAGAGAGTTCTGTTTATTCCCACACACACACATCACTAATAGTGGATAATGTACAGACATATACACAGTGGTTCATACAACATGTACATAATTTTGTTTAAGCAGTCACTTAACTGGTCAGCAGAAAGTATGCTGTGAGTTATGCCTTAAACACTATGCTGCAAGACTGCTGCTGTGATAAAAGGACATTATTCACCTCTGTGAAGATGTGAACATTCTTTGTGTCTGCATGCAACCATGGTGAGATGAAGAAATGAATGCATTTCTTCTTGAGAATTAGTTATATGTACTTTCAGCTGGACAATGCACCAGCACACACAGCACAGAACATTCAATGCATACAATACAGACTGTTCTTGATGAATGAATGATCAGCAAATGACTGTGGCCATAACGTTCCTCAGACCTGAATATGTGTGAATTTTATTTATTGTGAAACTCAAAATAGAAAGTTTATAGAAATAATCCATACACTTTGGAGCTTTATGGATCAAAATATGAAATGCTATTCTTGAAATCATGGAAGGAGAACTTAAATTTGAGTCAGAGAATTTCTTATATTTGTGTGAAATGTGTATGGATCTTGGAGGACATCACTTTTGGCAGCTACTTTATGCAACAGAACCCTGCTGCCATCCAACATCTTACTCCACAAACAGGTGGTTGGTAATAAGGTTGGACCCATACTATATATTCAAAAATTTCTACACAGTCCAAGTTCATATTGCTATGACCCGATCTGATGCTGCGTAATGCACTCTCAACCTACAATCCACATTTTTTTATACATTCTACAAAAGCCATTTAAATGTCTACTTGTATTCTTGCTTTTAGGAAAGTAACAAATGATGATAGAAGGATGCAATTTAGTATGGAAGTAGTGGCAATGCTAGTATATGTATGTTGATAGTGACAACACTGCAAAACAAAGAAAAAAGCTAACTTGAAGGCAGCATCAGACAATATTCTGGAACAACACAACATTATCAAATCTTGTCTTACAAAACAATAAATGCCTACTCACTGCAGCTGAATGATACATTAATCTAATCAAATTTCTGTATGCAGGATCTTCAGACTGGGGATATTTACAAACTGAAGTCTATCAAACTAACTGCTACAAGGAATAACTTATATATAAAAAAACATTCACCTAGAAGTATTCATACATTCACAGAAGAGCTAGTGGGTAAGTCACAGTCTGATCAAAATGTTTAAAAAATATGTCTGAGCCATTGGGGAAAATTTTCAGAATCTTCTATAATGTAGGTAAGTAAACTTCATTCTGTAATGTCACCAACATCACAGCTGACCAATTTAGCAACTGATGCAGTGTTTGTGCACAGCAAAAAGGTAATTCCCTGGTGTAGCTGCCTGTATAATTATTATTACAGTCATGAATATATATCTCATTGATCAATTTTCTACTATTTACAGCCATGGCACTGCATAGTGATTGCTTGCTAAAGAAATGGAACAACATTAGACATCCGTGGTGTAACAGCCCTCACTTTCACAAAAATGGTTGGCCAGCCTACCAATCAGACTACAGAAATACAGAGCACCATACAAAAGAATGAATATTATATAAAATATTATAGGAATCATAGATACAGAATAAATATGGTCCACCACTGAAAGACACTTTCTAGCTCTCAGTTATAAATTCCACCAACACATTCTTCCACTGCTTTTCTAAATTAAATAGTAGTAAACAGTTCTTGCTTTCCCTCTCTTATTTAGATATATCCTTAACCCATATTTTATTACAATGCAAGTAGTGCCTGTTCCTTACAGCCTGGATGATCTGTCCACATCATCAAAATAGCCACTACCCTGCTGGAGCCGTACAATTTGAAATGTAATATACATGCATCCCACCAGCAAGAATATGTACATAAGTCGACGGAAATGGAATGCAAATGGCATGGTTGATACCACCTGAGAAATTTCACACACCTGAAATAAGAAATAAGGTATTACATTATAAAGTTGAGATTCTAAGCAATGATGCACAAGGTAACACAGTTATACAGTTGCAGTTAGTGCACAAAATATCACACTTATAAAAACTTAAAATTGTAATTTAACATTTTTCTTTATTTGCATTTTGGTAAGTGACTGTGACAGATTGTGAGAATAGAGTAAATAGTTGTCTTCTTTCTTATCATTTGTCCCAATATTTAATATGAAATAATCAAAACTCATCTAATCAGTTTGCCTTGGAAGTGAAAGAAATTTAGTAATAAACATTCACAAAGACAGTCTTAATATGTGTATCATTTAAAATGCAAACCAACAACAATCACACACAGATATGGTCAATGAAACGTCGGTTTCGTCTTTTAATCATTTGACGCGGCTGATCGCCCGAAGAGAAAAAACATGAGCTATTAACTTTGAAGAGCTTGTTACAATAGCTTCTTTACTCAGTGGGGCATCACTTCCGTGAATGATAAGTGTAAACGTCATGATTATTACACATACTATGAGCTGGACTTAATGACTGCTGTTTTAATGATGAATGATAAACTCGTATTTCCCATAAAAGTACCAATAATTCGTCATCAATCAATGAGGCAAAACTGCAGGTCGTTATATAATACTCCTATCTGATCCATCAAGTCTTTTACAGAAAACAAAGTATGCAAATTCATTCTCAAGGTCTTCTAAGGCCGATTTAGCGAAGTTATACAACCTGACTTCTGATTAAAAGTTAAACACGTGGGACACATATACTTCCCTCTTCACTTACTTTATACACTTATCATTATTTGGTGACAAATGTAACCACCATTACTGAAGACCCTTGATTCCATGCACTTAACCTACACGGACTGGACAGATGACTCCACAGTAGAGACATGGATAGAATATTACGTGGTATCATGAAATACCGACAAACGGATCGAAAAAAAATGGTTGAACAATTTGAAGTAGTACGGAATCGACCAGAGGTATGTTTTAAGCATTAACTCGAAACTGTTAAAATCACTAAAAATATCACTGCATGGTGTACAAACACCGGGGTAGCACAGAAATGTGCAGTAATTCAATCAACGAAATTGCGCATGCGCAATTTTCTGTTTAAAAATTACTAGGAAACATCAGCCTTTGTAATAGATAAGTATATTCTTACAATGTTTTGTTAGGTGTAATAACCTGTTTTTAACTTAATGAAATTCTATTTTGTTCCAGCCAAAAGCTGTGTTCTTTACTTGTATGGACAGTAGAATGATTCCAACTCGTTTCACAGAGACTAATGTTGGTGATATGTTTGTTGGTGAGTATTTATTCCTTCTTCAGTATCTTATTAGTGAATTGCATGTATATGTTTGTCTCCTGATTCAACTACAACATTAATATTACAGACTGTTTGGCCAATTTTTGTGAAAGTCAGTGTGAACATTATTCCAATGTAGGTCTCCACATCTTGGTATTTTAAATTTCTTGTATCAGCAGTACCAATATGACAGTGGTGCAAGCTTGTGAGGTGGAAGTAATATTACTGACATTAAATGTCGGTCCTGAACCTTTGTATGGTGATTAATATTTGAAAAGTGCAAAGATTTTCTTTTTGAAAAATAGAAAATAACAAATATATCATTCATGATAATAATTGTGAATCACTGTATGTGAAATCCATATTGTCATAAGTACATCTACTAGTCTGAGTAGTATAATGGTATTAAAACACTAGAGGTGTAGTCCTCTGACCTATAAATGCACCATATGTTTCAATATACTACATGTTAGCACTGTTAAGAATTGCAATATGCAGAGAATGCGTAAAATATAATTTTCTGTTACAGTTCGTAATGCTGGCAATTTAATTCCTCATTCACAGCATTTCCTAGATGAAGCAACTACAAATGAACCAGCAGCATTAGAGCTAGGATGTATTATAAATGATATCAGACATATAATAGTGTGTGGACACTCAGATTGTAAGGTAAATGAGACTTAGGACTAGTATGACATACTTTCAATACGCGTAAGGTTTGCAAGTTGCCCTGTCAATAAGTGTTCTCTCTTTCATTAGTAATAAAATACCAGTTACTTCTTTTGTTACACTTCCCATATAGTACAAAAGTAACAGGTAGGAGTAATAAGTACAGAAGGAAAATACTTCAATGTCTGTCATTTTATTTACATTTTTATTTTTCTTGTTTGGTTCCCCAATTAATTTTTATATAGCAAACAATTCTTATGTAGCAAAATTTCAGTTTTATTAATTTTTAATTCTGCTTCTCTTGATTGCCTTTGTGAATGACATGTTACAGAAAGTTTTGCTATTTGAATTAAGATCTTAGACAATCCAAATCATCTCCATACAGAAAAACAACTCAGTATCCACAGCCAAGAATTAGGGTAATGTTGTAGTCCTTCCATCTAAGAGGCAATTCTGTTCAAGCCAACCTTGAACTTTTCTGTAAACTGGTAAGCATTCAACTTTTATTTAGAAGATACCTGGTCCAAACCTTACACAGCAGAGGGTGTCCTGAGTTTTTGTGTTACGCTTTCCTTGTCCTTTCCAATTGACTGCACATAAATGTCCCTGTCATCTCATTCTAAACTGAATAACTTTTGTAGTTGAAACAGTATAATTCAATAACCTATGACCAAAACAATCAGAAAGTTTGATCACTAGATGATGGTAGGAAGATCATAATTAAAAAGATATTTATGAAACTAAATTAATGCCTTCACCAGAAGACAGAAAGAAAAGCCACAGTCAGAACTCACCATTTCTGAGGCAACGATATGAATCTACCAGACTTAAAGTAAATTTATTATGTGTTAAGCTAAAATAATAAGGACTACAGGTCTTTTATGATACAGAATAAATCTGTTTTCATTTTCCTTAGTAAAGTATTTACATATTGTTTTATCTCTTCATTCCAGGCTATGAATCTACTCCATTCCTTGCAGTGTCAGGAGTTCTCATCACAGAAAAACCGTCGCATTTCACCCTTACGAGCCTGGCTGAGTGCTCACGCATATTCTTCCTTGACAAAATTTCAGCAACTTGAAGTTTCAGGCTATCATAAACCACTCATCTTTCAAGCAGAGACTCCAATGAGAAAATTTGTAGCCTATATAGATCCTGAGGATAAGTTTTCTGTTACAGATAAACTTTCACAGGTACAGTTGTAGTAAACATGTGCTTATTTAAAAGAACTTATGGTCTTTTTATGTGAAAGTAAGTATATTTATTGTATAAGGGGAACATGTTGTTTTGTCTATGGAAAATATAAATTACACGTGTCAAGGTATGACAACAGTCGTCCAACAGGATGAACAAGAATGATTATAGGTAAGTACTCAAATTGTTTGAGAACATTTTCTAATGTACATAGTACTAATTTGCTAGGCTGAAATTTATCTCATCTTTTATTAGTAATGATACCTTCCATCTAACTTTTATAAATGCTTAATGTCTTCATGTATCATCGACCCAAACAACTTTACTGTTAGTAGTAGAAAAACTCCTTATATCCAAAGATAAAACTATGGTTAATGTATAGTTGCAATATTTAGCTGTATTTTTATAGATTAAACAGGAAAACTGTATCAACTACAGTAGAACCTCTCATGAATCCTCACAAAGAAGCATTTTCATATGAAAGAAATTAACTGTTTAGCCATGTACTGCAAATAAAAGATTCTGATGTACATATATGAATGCATTCACTATTTTATGTCTGTATTTTGAGCAAGTAATAAGTTGGAATTGTCCCGTGCCGTAGCCGTGCGGTCTGAGGCATCATGCTTCGGACCGGCGATACAGAATGCGTGCTGGTTCAGGTCTCGGGGGAGAAGAAATTTTCTCATGAGCTTTCGACCAGTGTATGGGACCGGTGCCAACCCAGCATCGTGAGGAAATTTGGGAGCTACAATGGGTAGCGTAATCCAGTCATGGAAACCAGCAGTGGCTGGGGATTCGTTGTGCTGACCACACATCACTCTATATCTGGTTGGATGATCGTTCACCTCTGCTTAGGCATGTGAACATGAGGCCAGCAACCATCTAGTCGGCTTTGGTTCTCAGAGGGCTGTTATGCCACGGATTTAATTTTAATAAGTTGGAATTATGTTTTCCAGGTAAACTGTCTTCAGCAGCTCCAGAACATTGCCAGTTACGGATTCCTCAAGAGACGACTCGAGAGACATGAGCTTCATATACATGCTCTGTGGTTTGACATCTACACTGGTGATATATACTATTTCAGCAGACAAAACAAACGATTTGTTGATATCAACGAAGTTACATTCAATATGTTAGAAAAAGAAGTTCTTAAATATTATTCATGATTTTGATATCACAACTTCAGTAATATTTGAATAATGACCAATACTTCCCCATTCCATGCACTAAACCCCCCCACCCCACCCCCCTAAATTAAAAACTGCAATGTGAGTCCATTCTTTATTCGATTTTGGTTATCTTCTAAATGCAATATGAAAGGAAGCAGAATAAACTACTTTTGTTGTTAGTACAGTATAATTGAAGACATTTTGAAGTTATAGAATTTCTTTCTCTTCATTTGAATAGTTTGGTTAAAGAATGGTAACATAAGGAATAATAGTAATGCATGCATATCTTAATTCTTAAATTGTAAATCTGATATTGCCTCACAATATTGTAAAACTTTCCAGAGGCTATTAACGCTGAATCTGGACTTTTTCCATCAGTGTTACAGAAAAATCAGGAGGAGTCCTTTAAAAATGAGCTGCAGGAAAAACCCATTGTGTATGTGACAAGCTCCATTTCAAGCTTTTACATTTTCTGACGTTTGTAAAACAGGTGACACTGGTAATTTCTTAAGCTGAAGATGGCTGTCTTCTGGAAGACAGAAGACAGCCATCTTTATATGGGACCAAACTATTGATAAGGAGAAGAGGGGGCCAACCTTACATCATGAATTCTTTCCGTTTTCTGCTCAAAGCCATTATTAATGTAGATATTGACATTCTTGCCTTTTTGTACCTTTCACGTCACATATTTTCACTTGCCAGTGCTGTATTTATAGGGGCATAACAAATCTTATTTTATGATCCACTTTTTTTTGTACGTCTGCTTTCTTGTAGATAGTGTACATTTTTATCATCATCATCCATCATCAATTTTGCACCTCTTGTCTTCAGAAGGGTACATTTTCTCACATAGGAGAATAAGTCTACCTCAAATCTGTTAACGCTATGATGATTTATTATTTTTGTCAGCCATTGATGTGAAATTGGTGTGGGCATACCAAATTAAGGATCAGTGAGAATCAGAATTCCAGTTTTTGATTATGGATATAAATTTTAGATACTGAGACCAATATCATTTCATACTTTTAAATTTCTTTAGATTTGTGATGTTTCACAACAAAAGAAGCAGAAAACTGTAAGAATTGAGATGACAGAATATTTTTATACATATTTACAATTTCCTACTTGTATTTGAATCTTTTTACATTTTTTTATTTTGGTCTTTACACCTTTACTGCTTAACGTAACAGAGAATAAAAAGTGTGTTCCTTCTTGTATGTTCTGTCTTAATGGATAAAGATTACACAAATTGTTTTTGTTTTGGAATTTACAGTCCTGTCCATTGGGTTCTGTGAAAAGTAAAGCTTTTAATGAAATTAGCCTGAAAGATGAACCTTTGTATGAGAACCATTTGGACTGGACGATCTACCAGTAAATGTGATTATTTGCAGAAAGTTTTTGCTAGGTTCTTTTACGAGATGTAATAAGTACAGATTGATATTTTGTAATTTCAGTAACTGGATGATATTTCCAGAAGTACTGAGATGTTATACAATTAAATTACAAATATATTTTTATTATAAATATATTTTTGTACATAGCGCTAAAAAGAATTAAAATCGGTTTTTGTTAGTTTGAACTAAACAATGTATATTTTAAAGGATGTTATATAGTAGACAGAAGAGTATTACTTGAGAGAGAATAGTAATCTTGTACATTATTAATTGCTTACTACTGAAAGTTTGCATATTGTGTAAGAAACTCTTTAAGATATTGTAGATGCGTCATATTGTGATTTATAATATAAAAAATATATATTAAAATTATCCGTCAATCACAATATAATATAATTAAAAGATTAAAATATCATTTTACGTTCCCTATCGAGTACTCGATTTACATGTGGAACATACACGACATGTTTCGGCTCTATATAGCCATCATCTGGTGTTATGTATATAAACTCTTCACTGGAAACAATGTGGACAAGAACATCATAAGAAAAATGAAAAATAAATAGCGAATGAAGAAACAATGTGGAGGACAAGAACATCATAAGAAAAATGAAAAATAAAAATCATTAATAAATCAGTAAAAAATCAGTAAAAAATCAGTAATCCAGTGAAGAGTTTATATACATAACACCAGATGATGGCTATATAGAGCCGAAACATGTCGTGTATGTTCCACATGTAAATCGAGTACTCGATAGGGAACGTAAAATGATATTTTAATCTTTTAATTATATTATATTGTGATTGACGGATAATTTTAATATATATTTTTAATAAGAAACTCTTTGTTATTCAATTGTAGAATGTTCCAACATGGATATTTTTTTAAAATATAGACTGGACAGCATAATCAAAGAATTTAAAGAGGTTTCCTGATAGGGAGGATGGAAGTATACTTGAAGGTGTAAATGAGAAACAGGCCAGTTTTAAGTCATAGTTTATATGCATCATCTATATTTCGTACATCACTTGTTTTGAACCATTAGAAACCCTATTTCCATTATAATGTAGACAAGAGACCAATGATGATCTTCTAATGGTCAGGTTTGGAAACGAATACTCATACACATGTGTAATATTAAAAAATCGACAGTGGAACCACGGTTCCGGAGAATCTGACGTAAATGCGTCTTTGTATTTAAATTATATTTAGGAAATAAATACAATGAAAGGAAGTTTATATATTAGCTTTATAACTTGCAATAATTGCCTCTTGCGGTTTCTATATTCCCTCATATGTTCAGCATCAGTTTTTGGTAACTTCAGGTTCATTATTTAATACTTCTGTTTTTTTACGTTTTCTGTACTGTCTCATATTCTGCATTACGGACTCTTTTAGCTTCAATGTCATCCATCTTGTTATCTCTACATAGTATGACGCAACACACAAACGCAGCAGTAGCGTGAAGTGCTATGCGCCTTTATTTGTATAAATAAATTTTTGTAGAACCTAAACCATTTGTGATATGTAAAATCTGAAAACAGATATGGAAAGCTCAAGAGGTAATACATATTTCGTACGCAATATGTCAAGATCCATCTCTTACGGTTTTCGAGAGGCGGGCGCTTAACGTAATGAACAATAATAATAAATAGGAATCCCTTACCTCAAACTTTGTTCAATTGTAAGAGACCACGATGTCCACCCGCAATGACCAATGTAATCAAAACTAAAATGGAGAGAATGGAGGGCAGTATCACAGATTTCTTAATAATTCTTATATAAGATACGTACTTGTGATATTCTAAAACGTTTTTAACAGCACAATATTATCTATACTCTGCGACTCACTTCTTCTACAAGCGATTCACAGCTCAGATCTTTCCGCAATAACGAAAGCGGATTGTTGACGGCAGTAATGAAAAAAGAACAATGCCGAATAAACAGATGACATAACAATTAGTTTCTTAGGTAACATAACAATGCACGCAGGAGTTCATATAAAAGCTGACCGTTGTTGTCGGTCCATATTTACACATTGTTGGTATGGATCTTACACATTTTCCTAACGCTGTTTTGCCGAATGACCTTTCAGTATAGACGTATTTACATCAAAAAAGAACATTTTCATAATAATATTAAGTAATTACAAACATATTATATTCCTGTCACCACAAAAATTTAGCAGAACAATGTGGTTGTAGTTATGTAGTTTGTAATTCCATGTGGCCAAATATGGACTGATGCTATTTTGTTTCTTATGCACAAATATCACATTAACTTATTTACAGAATAGTGATTGCATCCATTCCAGAACTTTGGTGGGAGTTATCTTGAAAATGGAAACTTTGAAAATGAATAATAAAATGGGAGATAAAAGTTAAGATGGTTTGTAGGAGACAAGGCCACAGTCACTCCATTCCATGCTAATAAAAGTCAGAGCATCTGACAGTCTTTAAACAAACCATAAGTAAAAGTCTAACTGTGTACATGTGTGTGTGTGCACGCATGACTTTTATTAGTGGTGCAACAGTTTTTGAGAACTTCTTGGTTTGGTGGACGGGAATGAAAAAAAAAACTAATAACCAATCAGTATTGAAGTTATCATACCTATTGTTCTCTGTTGCAGTATATTATAAATATTTCACTCTATGAAGCAGATTAGCGTCATCATTTGGTAAACATGCTTACTGATTACTAGGCCTAGGCCTTAGGCCTGTTATCATTGTTTTAGTTCTATCTCAGCGTAATTAACAGTTGTATTTATGTTCTTGTATTATATGTGACTTTTCCTTCTAGTGTGGAAGAGTTTCATTATTAGAGTACAATCAGACCTGCTTCTAATAGTCGCTTTCTCTTTCTGTTGGAGGAACGCCGAAATGTAATTGGTGGAGTACTGAGTCACGTGCCTCTCCCGGCATGCTCTATTTCGCGCATTCAATACTGCGTGCTGCGCCTGCTTAAGGAGGCGCGCATGCGTATGCCGTACATTACTGAGTGCCAGCCATGCAAAGCATGAAGGGAGCATAGTTATGACTTTATAGGGCATTGTTCTACTTCAACCCGTAGAAATGGCGGAATTATCATCAGAATGGAACATAAATTATGTGTGCCATTTGTCCAGGCAATTCACGAAATATGGAATTCAGATTCAAGGAAGGATATTTGGTAGTTCTGTATGGACATGTTTTATGGATGAATAAAGAGAGAATCCCGAATCCAAATTAAGGTATAAAAAACAAAAACGAAGACACTGGAGTGATTAAGATGGGAGCTAATGGTTAGGAAGGAAGAATACGGGAATGAAATAACATCCTAATTTTTACATCAGCATTAATTAACTGGCATTAGTACTTATTATTGCTATTGTATTACTTGTCACGTAGACCTGAACGGGAGAGCATTTGGAAGACCAAGGCGTAGATAGAAGTACGATAATAAAATTGACCTCAGAAAACTAACATCTGAGGTGTGGAATGCATTCATCTGGATCAGAACAGGAACAAGAACCGCGTTCTTGTGGGTACGACAGCGAATTTCTGATTCCATAGACAGGGAATTCTGGGGAATCATTATTATTGCCGTTGTGTGGAATCATCGAGAAAGTCCAGATTTATGCTGGTTGAGGTGAAATATTAAATTCTTGGCTTTCATTATTTTAATAAGAAGGAGAAACAAAAGTAGTACCCTCGACTTTGTGATTTTGCTTATGTCATTGGCCTTGATGAAAATGTCTTGTAAATACAAGTATGTGGTTGCAAATATTACACTATAGCGGGATTAGGTCCTATGAAAAATGCGGTCCATGAAAGTATTCAGCCCGGCCGACAAGCATTGTTTGGATATTATTAGTCCTAACACAATTATAGTACAGGTAGTACTGTAACCAAGAAAACTTGTTGCAGTTGCATTTTTTGTATCCATAATAGGTGAACATATTTACTACCATTTAAATTTAGTACAGAAATCTACCAACAACAGAGTACGAGTGTCCTCTCAACATTGAATTTAGAGAACCAGAACATCGATGGAGTCTATATCGATTCCGAATTCATTATTAATCATATCACTTTGTGTCGTTTGTTGTTTTTCTCTGTGGCAGTGGTTCTCAAGCGCGGCCACCAGACAATTTCAATGACAAAAATGTTGTTTTCTCTGGCTTTACCTTCTAAGTCTAAACATATATGCTTCGCACTTCATTTTGTTAAATTTTTCTTAATGCGGCCACAATGAATTGCTCGTGAATGCATTAGCGGCCACAAAAAATATCTCGTCAGAACCTCTGCGTTATGGCATGTTCTGTCATAGCGAATAATTGATTGATATTGTCTGAATTACAGTTTTTCTTACAAAACACTCCGTTGTTGTAGACCACTGGAATATACTGATTGACGGACAGATAGACACATCACCATTTTACTTTATTTATATCCAGTTTGTACACAAGTGCATGAAAAGACTTAGGGAAAATAGGTTGCAACGCTGCATATTTACCATTGTCAGATTTCAAAACGACTATGCCTTTATCAAGTCCCGGGACAGTGCCTTTCTTCTCACACCTGCATACGAGTTAATTATAAGGTAATCTGTCCATAAAAATTAGAAATGGAACTACAGGCATGAAGAAACGCGTTTCTCGAGGTCGCGGTCCACCACTTCTTCTGTATTACCACCAAACATCAATGATATTAAAAATCTTGTCAGTTTGAACCACACAACTCAATTACTGCAGTCACAAAGATAATGTGGAGTAAGTACACAGAAAATCTGCGTTACTGTCAAGTTACCAACGCTTGCACTATAGCGGTGTCGCCTCCCACTGGGCGGAATGACGTGGTGGTGACCTGCTTAAGGTCGTGTGTGACCCACATCTCCCCCTCAAGTTGTCACAGATTCCAACACACACAATCTGTAGCACAAACACTTCCACCTTCCAGCAACAGAGACGGGGCGACTCCTCTCATTGCATGTCTGACGTCACGATGACCCTGCTAATACTAACACTACATGCAGAAAATCTTTAAGGTCGCCGCCCCCCGCCAACTCGACGGCAGCAGCGGTAAGAGAATCATGCACATTCAATGAAACTATGTCAGCGTACCGATACGGGAAAAAGCAAGAAAAATAACAAAGCTGTCTGTTGAGAGACTCAATATTTAACACACTGAGTCCTGACAACTTGAGAAGAATACACTAAATCGTTCTACACGAATTTGGGGTGTGATGATTAGCATTCCTTCGCATTCGGGAGGTCCCCGATTCGAGTGTCGCCAGGGCAACCGGATATCCTGAATAAGACTTTTCATGAAGAAGACTGTCACTGATAGTCTAACAGAAACTGAGGTACACACTGCTTCCATTATCAGGGTAATGAGTTAGCTACGTGCGCGGTTGCATTTTCTTGAGAAAGCCCACGTTGACACCCAAAAATAGGTTTAAAAGTATGAGAATGGAGCATTTTATTTTGTTCTAATGACTTTATTTTTGGTTACAACAATCGGACAAGCTCACAAATGGCTCAAATCACAATTAAATGCTCAAAAAAGTATCTCATATACGAATACTACTGTCCAGCTTTCTCTGTTCTACGCTTCTATCTCCTTATTCCCGGATCATAATGGACTCTTACTGCATATTGCACAGA